TGCATGTGTGAATGTGAGTATACGTGAATGAGTGTAGGAGGGTGACTGTGTTTGTGTCAATGCATGTGTGTCTATGTGAATGTGTGAGTATGTGTCTGGGTGGGTGACTGTGTGTGTACCCACAGGTATGTGTGTGAAGTGTCTGTGTGCATTGTGTCTGTGTGCATTGTGTGTGATCGACAGGGAGACAGAGGGCACAGGGCAGAGAAGCAGGACCACAGCCTGGCGTGTCCTGGCCCTCATCTCTGTCTACCTCATGCTTCTCTCTAAAGCCCAGTCCTGTCAGCCCGCTCCCCTTAGGGCCTGGACTCGGCCCCTCAGTCAAGGGGACACAGTGGAGGTCAGCCCCCTCCTGCAGAGCCTCCTGTCCTGTTGGTGGTGGGGATGGGTGGGAGGCATCAGGGCACCCCTGGTGGCCGAGGCAGGGCTGGAACAAGGTGAGCACCTTGCCCTCCCCGAAACACACAGTGGGAACAGGACCCCAGGGGCCTTCCTCCCAAAGCCCCCCGGTCTGGAGGTCTCAAGTTTGGGCATGGCCTGGCTTCCGGCTGAGTGACGCTGTGGGAAGCTGTGTTGCTGCAGAGCCTGGAGGGAGGCCGTGTCTGCGCCATCACCTCAGGGTCCGGGGACAGTGCTGGGGCTTGCTGCAGAGCGGCCCTCACCCCCACCCTCCTGCCGCACGCAGGTGGCCACCTCCCCAGCACCGTCTCCGGTGCCCGGCCCGGGCCCCTTGCAGCAGGTGCACTCCACATCTTTCGGGAACTGGGAGTGAGCGTGGAAGTTGCTCTGGGCTGGGCTGGCATCAGCTTCGGAATGAAGATGCAGAGCCCAGACTCTGCCAACACCCCCCTTGCCAGCTCCGGGCTCCTGACCACGGCTGGTGGGACAGTCCCCGAACAAAGTCACCACTAGATTCTCCTGCGCTGTTTGCTTCCTGCAGGACCTCGGCTGGACATCTGTGTGCCCAAAACAAGGGCCTGTCCCACCCTGCTGTGCAGCCCTGGTGGCCTGACATTGCAGTCAGCACTTGTCTCAGTAGGTGTGGTCATCCACAGTGCACTGCCTCCCTGGCACCCCTGGGGTCCCCACGGCAGGGCTGCGTCTGCCCCTCTGTGTCCAGGAGCCCTAGGGAGTCAGGAGGAACCCTGTCCCTTCCCCAGCCCAGCTGGCACAGCCCACAGTGCACCTGCGTCCTGGCCAGCAGGGACAGGCAGGCCTGTGGCTCCAGGAGACAGGTCACGAACTCTCTGTCCAAACTCAAACTCCTTGGGCACCAAGGACACTCTGCCCCACCAGACCGTGGGGAAGCAGGCAGAGACGTGAGCAAAGAACATTCTGGCCACGACACCCACTGATCACATAAGCACATGTCTGACAAAGGCCACCGCAGGCAGGGCGCTGTGTGCCTGGACACGTGCCCACAGGGAAGGGGCGTCCAGGCCGCCCCCAGCCTCCCGAGACTTGTGGGCCCAGCCGGAGGCAGCTGGGAACATGGGGCCAGTAAGGCCACTCCGTCTTCCATGTCCACCCCGACTACCAGCAGGCAGCATTCTTTGCCTTCCTCCAAGGGCCAGTGCTGGCCCAGGGCTCCTTCCGGCCACCCTCCCTCCTTGGAGCCACACTGCCGGGGGAAGTGATCAGCTTCCTCCCACAGCTGGGAGAGGCCTGCACATAAATGCACCTGGGCAAGTGGGCACACAGGACAGGACCTCAGAAACCTGTCTTCCTCACGGCGACTGCCACGCCCAGGGCGGAGGGTCAAAGCAGTACCCACCGGGAGCTCCTTGCCTCCGACACGGGAGACAGGCTGCCTCCCCTCCACGCAGAGTGGCCAGCCACTGGGAGAGCAGGAAGTGTCGCCCTCTCTCAGCAGCTCAGAAGCAAAGGAGAACGGAGGGGATGGCTCAGAGGCCGGCCCCTCCTCAATAAGGACCACAGCACATATGGGGTCTCAGCAGAGAAGCCCGGTCAGGGATTTGCTGACCAGCCACTGGGCACAGAAGGGCCGCCCATCTGTGGAGTGGCTCTCTGGGACACAGCACACAAAGGGGGCTTCCTCCTTCCTTACATAGGGTCCAGGTGACACCGGAGGAGAAGACGCATCAGGGGCTGCCACTCTGCCCGCCAGCCTCCCTCCACACAAGCAGGCACAGCCAGGTGCAGACCAGGCCAGGCCCAGGGCTCAGGCCACTGGACACAGATGCTTCCCAGTGTTCTCTGATCTGGGCCCTGCAGAGGAGGGTGGAGGGTCCATGCCATCTACATGCTGGGGACCCAAGCTCGGCCCTGAGGCTTGTCATCTGCTGTCTGAGCGGCACGGGCACCACTCGTCAGCTGACGGACGTCAGATCCCAGAGTGGCACAGCATGAGGGCTGCAGCCACGTGCCCTTTGACCCTGTGTCCATAAGCAGCACCTGGGCCTCGAGACAGGGGCATCTGTCTGCCCTAAACACAGCCAGAGATGCCTGCCGCGGGCTTGTTAGCTGGCCTCACGGGGAAGCTTGGCTTTACCTCTGTGGCCAGGGAACCATGAAGGTTCTTGTGGAAATGTAGGCTGAGTCAGCCAACAATTGGAGCCATGCAGGACTTGCCACTGTGAACTGTCCCCACATCGTATCTTTGCAGCTCTGCCTTGGGGCCAGGGCCTGCCCACAGAGCCAGATGCTGCTCCTTGGCCGAGTATGACCCAGGCCAAGGCCTGGGCAATCTCACACCAACTCGCTCTGGACCCAGCCAAGCCCACAGGCTGTGGACCCCACACTGACACGCAGCCAGGGCCAGAGAAGTGGCCAGCGGGGGCACTCCTGCCTTGTGAGGGCCACTCGGGCCTCCAGACAGCAGCGCTCCGGTCTGAGGGCCACCTCAGCTGATTTACTCTCTCAGGTAGATCATCTTACTGTTCAGTGGTCTCCAAACTCCTGCATGTGCACTGATCTCTGCTGATGCCTCCAAAGCACCGTGGACCACACCCTGCCTGGCACCTATTTCCCCTTGTTTTTATTACAGTGAAAAACACAGATGTCACAACACAGTGGCCTGTTTAATCATGTGGACACGTGTAACTTGGTGAATTTGATGACATTCACCATGCTGTGTGTCCATGCCACTGCCGTGGACAGACACCCCATGGCCTGAGCACTGGCTCCACCCCACCCTGGTGACCACAGTAGCTTCGGGCCCCCTGCCTTTGCCTCTACCATATGAGTGGGCCTGGTCGGGGTCTGTCCTTCTCACTGACTGTACCACAGCGTATCACCCTATAGTTAAACGCACACATCTGACGGGCACAGCTCTAGTCTCACAAAGGAGAGACCGCCAGACAAGACCCAGAAGTTCCTACCTGACTTGAAGCCCCGCTCAGCCCTGCAGTCCCTGCCCCACCCGTTGTGGCTTCCAGCACCACCTATCAGTTTGGGCCGGTCTTGAATGCTGACGGAATCAGAATTGCATGGCCCAGAACAGCCCCACTGGCTGCAGGCTTCATTCCCTGAGAGGAAGTCTGGGACCATCAGACGCTGGGGGCACTTTAGCTTCTCACTGCCTTAGAAGCTCCCTCTGTGCCAGGAGCCCCTGCGTGGTGCAGACGGGGCAGCTCGGCTGGCAGCTGAGAGCTTGGCGGTTCAAACCCCCCTGAGGGGCCTCGGAGACAGGCCTCTCCAACTGCTGCTGAGAAGCCGGTCCTGAAGAGCCTGTGGCGCAGTTCTGCTCTGCACACCCGGGGTCGCCAGGCGTCGGCACTGACCCGCCAGCTACCAAGCCCCACACGGATGCTGTGCCCTTCCTACTGCAAACGGGCACTGGGCCGGCTACTGCCTGGGCTGCCACCCCCAGGGGGGCCACTGCACGTGAGGCTGCAGGGGACACGTCTCTGTGACGTGTGATGATGGTACGCATGCGTGTCCGGTGGGGAGAAATGCCAACACCATCGGAGAGAAAGCATTTAACCTTAGTAGGTATCTCCAGTTGTTTTCCGAGCTGCTTGGACCGATCGCCTCCACAGGAAAGTGCCTGAGATTTCTAGCTGCCGCACATCCCAGCCCACGCTTGGTGCAGCCAGGTGTTCTGTGTTTGTGTGTATTTAACTGTCTTGGGGGCGTGAGGTGTGTAGCAGGATGCCACCATGGGCTTACTTTGTGTTTTCTCATTTCAATGACGCTGAACATGCTTTTGTGGGTTTGCTCCTCTACATGCTGTCCGTGTGAGTTGTGGAAACGTCTCCTCTCAACTGTTGGTAGCCTTGTTGCTCTGAGTGGTGTCTGCTCGAACAAAGCTGTGTCCATCCTTCCCTCCTGACTTGGGCTTTGCATCTGGGTCGGAGACGCCTGCCTGCCACAAAGACGTGATAAGAGCCTCCACATGACCCTGCAGGCGCTTCGTTTTCCCTTTCACGTTTAGGTCTGTGACCCAGCTGGAGGGGAGCTCTGTGCATGGGTGAGGCAAAGGTCAAAGACTTTCTCCAAGCCCAGCTCTGCCACAGACCAGGTGAGCATGCCCATGTGGGTATGAGCCTGGGCTCATTCTGTTCCCACTGGCCTGCTTGTCTGACACCACCACCACTGTTGCTGTTGTTGTTGTTAGGTGCTGTTCCGTTCATTCCAACTCATAGCAATCCTGTGTATAATAGAATGAAACACTGCCCGGTCCTGCGCCAACCTCACAATCATTGCTGTCTTGAGCCCACTGTTGCAGCCACCATGTCAATCCGTCTCGTTGAGGGCCTTCCCCTTTTTTGCTGACCCTTCACTTTATCAACCATGACATCCTTCTCCAGGGAATGGTCCCTTCTGACAACACAACCAAAGTACAGGAGAGGAAGTCTGGCCATTCTCGCTTCTAAAAAGTATTCCAGCTGTACTTTTTCCGGGACAGATTTGTTTGTCCTTCTGGCAGTCCATGGCACTGTCAGTATTCTTCACCAAAAACATGATTCAAAGGCATCAACTCTTCTTTGGTCCCCATTCATTGTCCAGCTTTCACATGCATGTGAGGCGATTAAAAATGCCATGGCTTGGGTTGGGAGCTCTGGTAGCATAGTGGCTAAGACACTTGCCTGCTAATCAGACGGCTGGTGGTTCAAACCCACCAGCCACTCCTCGGAAGGAAGGTTGGGCAATCCTACTTCCGTAGTGATACTGCCTCGGAAACCCAAGGAGGGGTCGCTATGAGTCGGGTTTGACTCGACGGCACATAACAACGACAACAACAACAACATGGCTTGGGTTAGGGGCACCTTCATCTTCAAAGCAACGTCTTCACTCTTCAACACTTTAAACAGGTCTTTTGCAGCAGATCTGCCCAGGGCAATACGACATCTCATTTCTTGGCTGCTGCTTCCATGGGTGTGGACTGTGGATCCACATAAAATGAAAAACAGTATAGATTTCCTTTAATTTCTCTCCATAATGCTTCATAGTTTCCTGATGCAGGGCCCTCACCACCCATCCATAGATTTCATCCTACTTCTGATGCTGTAATAAATGGTATCTGTTCTTAAATTTCAGATCCAAATTATCTTCTGATAGCACAATGTCTTCTTATACACTGAATTACCTGGACCAGTAATTCTGTTACCTTTGCTTACTCATTCTAACAATCCATCTGCAGATCCGTTTGAACTTCTTATGTACACAATCACCTTACGGCACCCATGAGTCACACTGTCATAAAAAGCAATTACATCAAAGGATCAACAGTATTGCTGAATTCTTTTATATTTTTGCCTGTCTCTTTTAGCAGCTGCTTCAAAAGGTGTGTTAAAATTTCTAGCTGTGACTGTGGATCTACAGTCACAGTCCTTTCAGTGCTGTTGTTTTGCTTTATGCATTTTGAGGCTCAGTTATTAAGTTCCTACACATTCAGGATTCTATGTTTTCTACTTGAATTGGCATTATACTGTGCTTCCGTCTGTGATGATTTTTCTTTTTCCACCTCAGAGAGTTCTGTTGATGACACATTCTCTCAGTTTTTTGTTCTCTAAAAACATTTCCAGTTCACCTCCATTACTGAAGAGTATTTTACCAGATGTAGAATCTTAGCTTGGCAGTTATTTGCTTTTAAAGTTTTAACGCTGACTTTCCATTGTCTTCTGGATTCCAGTGTTTCTTTTAAGAAGTCAGGTGTCCATCTTGTCCTTCTTTTAAAACTAATAGGGCCTTTTCTCTGCTCTTAAATTTGTCTGTCTTTGATTTTCAAGTTTTTATTATGATGCAACTAAAAGTAGTTCTCCTTACCTTGATCCTATCTACCACAAAGCTCCTTCTATGGCTTGAAGTATTGGGATCACTTTGGAATCTCTTCAAATATCACTTCTACCCATTCTCTCTCCTGTTAATCTAGAACTCAAATGATAAACTCTTTCCTAGATGTGTAATCATTTTCTTCCCTCTTTCTTGTGCCACAACTTCTAGTTCACTAATTCTTTCTTCTGTCACATCTAATTTGGTATTTAACCAACCTATTGAACTCTTAATTTTAGTTATGTTTTCACTCTAGGAGTGTTCAATACTAGCATTTCTATTTTTCATCTTTTTAAGATTTATGCTCTTTAGTGAAATTCTCTCATCTGCTTTCTCTAACATATTAATAATAGGTATTTAATGTGCATATCTGATTATTCTAATAGCAGAATCACCTGCAGATCAGTTTCTACTCAACCATTTTTTCTTGGCTTCAATAATATAATTCTGTCACCTGGTATGCCTAGTACTTCTAGATTAAATGCCAGGCATTGTGTATGAATAATTATAATGGATGATGGACTCTTCTTCTAGAGAGGATTCAGCTGTCTTCAGGCAGAGAGAGAAAACATGATTCAAAATTGTGTGTCAGACAGGGAAGAGGTAACTACAGGGAGGAAGTGGGAAGAGAGCTGTTACACTGTGGGGACTGTAGTCTATGTCATGAGACAAAATGTGTATGAACTGCTGTGTGGAAAATGAATTTGGTCTGTAAACATTCACCCAAATAACAATAGCAATAAAAATAAAAACAAAAAGAGAAAGAGACCGTGCGTCAGGTTTTGTGAGGACTCCTGAGGTATAGCCCTTCAGGGTCTCATCTGAAACCTGGTGGTGTTTAAAGGAGTCTCTCCTACTTGCTGGGTCCTGAACATCAACGTTTCTCTCTTTAGTATCTGGAGATGCCTCGGTCTCTGTTCCACATCTTGGAAACAGCTTTGTGCTTGGTCTCTTTGCCTCTGAGAACATGCTTGCAGAGCTTACAAATCAGCAAATACCCAAAGGGGAAACTGCACAGAGTCTGGTAGTCCCTCTCCTGCAGGATTTTGTTCCCTCAGCGTTGGCTCTCTTAGGAGCCCTGCACTTGTTTTCTGTTTCCTCAGCCCAGTAAGACTGCTGAAGCTGCATGCCACCAGCCGTTCAGTCTCCATATGCTGAGACATGAGTCAGGAAATGCCCAGGAGGCAGGAAGGACATGGTGGTGAGCACAGTGCCCATCTCAATGCAGTTCTCATCTTTTTGAGTCTCTGTCTCTCAAGTTCTGACTGCCTTGCTTGCTCTTTGATGTCTTCAAACTTGTGTGTGTGTGTGTGAGTGTGCCCGTGCATGTGCTAATCCAAGTTGCACAGCTGTTCCTGGCAGGAGTGTTCGTCTGGGACAAGTCAGTCATTTATAGCAGGTGGAACTGACAACAATTATTGTGAGGGAGACCATGCTGTGTCAGGCCTTGTGCTAGAGACCTAAGGTCAAAAGGCCCATTTTTAAGAGGTTATTTTTCAGAGAAAACCCCCTTAGACAGGGCCTGCCCTCCATCCTTCCTGCTCTTCCCTACAGCCAGATGGCAATGGACTCTGTGCTGTCCCTTGGCACCCCCTGACCATGGAATGTGCTCCTTACCCACCTGTTTGCCGGCCCTCTGTGCTGTGGGAAGCAGGGCTCTGGACTTTTCTGCAATTTTCTGTTGGAAAAAGTACAGGGAAGGGGAATAGGGGGAAGGAAACAAGAAGGGAGGAGAGAAGGGGCAGTCAGGGAAACAAGGAGCGAGGAGAGAGAGGAACAATCAGAAACACAAGGTTGTGAACAAGGAGCGACAGCAAAACACACCTGCAGCTCTCTGAGAGAAAACAACTGTGCCAGGTCACGGGGGAAGTGGCCCCAATCTCTGGAAAACTGTCCTGGGTCTTGGGAAAACTGGGGTCTGAACGGGGCTCTACCCATGAGATGACTGATGGCCCCCACCGGAGAACTTAAGCTCTCTGGGACTCAAGTTTTCTCACCGGGCAAAAGAAGGGGTACCAGCTCTCCCACCTCCCAGGAGCTGTTGACAGACAGCCTCCTGGGCAGCAAGTCAGAAGGTACAGAACCTTTACACCCTGAGGACACACACCCTGCTCCTCGCAGAAGGCCCACGGGGCTGGCTCCTTCCATGCTCTAGGGTCAGTTCAGGGACGAGACAGCCAGAGTGGATGCTCATGGAATTGGTTCTCCTCCCCCCTGCCCCACAGCCTGACCTGAGACCCCTACCTGCAGGGCCTCACCTTCTGCACAACTCCGTAGCGCTGAATGGCATCTGACAGCTGAGTCTTCAGGCGGTCCAGCTGAAGACGCTCCTGCTGCAAATAGAAGAGTGTGCTTAAGTGGGAGACTGAGGCCTCATCCGCCTCCCACAGCCCCCCTCAACCCTGGGGGACGCCTCAGCTCCCAACTCTCCTTGTGCCCTCCTGTCCCTCTGGTCGTGCCTGCACCATGCCCACCTTCTCCAATCACCATCAGCCTCCCACCATCATCACCACTGGAGCACTGTCAGAATTAGACTCCTCCCCATCTACCTCATCATCTCCAGCACCACACCCCCATCATGCGATCTGCTGCTTGTACCATCTCCACGGGCACAGGCAGGGCCACCACAGACCCCATCACCACTCCACACACAAGTCATCACCAGCAACACTGCTCTGAGCCCACAACACATGTCAATCCCCACAACCACCTATCATCATCCTTGGCCCCAAGCCCTAGGTGCAGTGCAGCAGACCTTGGCCACAGGTTCTCAGTGGCTTGTCCAAGGTTGCACAGGTGGCAGGCCAAGGCCCTGGTCCCAGGTCACTGACCCCAGAGCCTAGGCCCTGGACCACATGTGAGGCTGCATCTCGTCACCATCAGAATTGCGATCAACAAACTGCTCCTCTCATCAGCACATCTTACCATCCACCTTTGGAGCCTCCAACTCCACTGCCTCCACCCCTGCCCCAGTGAACAGGGTCACATCTGTCTAGGCCCCTACTGCATCTCAGTGCCCACAATGACGGCAGGCACAAAGCTAGTCCTCAAGGGATCACAAAAGGGTGAAAGGGAGCCTGGAGCCTAGCTCGGCCTGATGTTTTCCCATGAGCACCAACTGACCATCAGAAGCCTGAGCCTTGTCTCTTACCATGGAGAACCAGCACACACGAGGCCACGCCAGTCTCCAGTTGCCTTGGATATGGACCCAGACGCAAATCCTGGCCTCTTCTCGTTTAGCATATCCTATAATCCCCTGGAAAGGGCCCTTCCCCTGACCCTGACCCTGCACCTCAAGTCACAGGGCAGCCCACTCCCAGCTGGGGTGCTCTGTGCCCCAAGTCACAGGACTTCCAGCCGGGGTGCCCTGCACAGGCCCAGGTGGAACTCTGCCCCTGGGCCCTGAGCACTCACCCTCCGTGTCCCCACACACCCACCATGTACCTCACAGAGAACGAGGGGTAAAGTGGATAAGCGGGCTGGTCATGTTAGAAGGGACAAGGCTTTGAATGGATATCTTTCACTGTAGTCATGGCATCTGGCTTCTTGTGTGGTTGCAGTTCTGCAGAGCTCTGTGAGGCCTGGGAATTATCATTCTGTGTGCCCAGGGCCACTCACCGTATGGTTCCTGTAATTAGCACCCCATGTGTCTAGGACCAGGAGCGCTGGTGGCACAGTGGTTACATGTGGGTCTGCAAACCAAAAAGTCAGTGGTTTGAACCCATCAGTGTCTCCATGAGAGAAAGATGCGGCAGTCGGCTTTGGTAAAGATTGACAGCCTTGTAAACCCTGTGGGGCAGTCCCACTCTGTCCTCTAGGGGCGCTGTGGGTCAGAATAACATGGCAGTGGGTTTGGTTTGGACTTTGCTTCCATGAAGATTGACAGCCTTGGAGACCCTGTGGGGCAGTTCCACTCTGTCCTCTAGGGGCGCTGTGGGTCAGAATAACATGGCAGTGGGTTTGGTTTGGACTTTGCTTCCGTGAAGATTGACAGCCTTGGAGACCCTGTGGGCAGTTCCACTCTGTCCTCTAGGGGTGCGGTGAGCAGAATCGACTCCACGGCAGTGGGGGCCAGTAGGGTGCCTAGGGCTCACCTTTTGCCCCTGCACTGTGAGCAGCCTCCTCATACCTCTCTCCACCTGGAAGGGCCGTTAGCACACGCCACTCATGAGAATCCTCCCCACTCATCCGTTCATTCATCCAAACACAGGTACCAAGTGCCTGCTATGTTGGGTCTGATTCAAACCGAGACAACCCAAGAAGCCTCCTCAGTCTCTCCTTTACGAGTGGCTGTAACCGGCCTCCTACCTTCCCCTTCCAATAGCCTTCCTTAAACCCACAGTGCACACATACGCACACGTGCACGCACGCACACACACATGTGCACAGCCTTTATCAGTCATCATTCCTTGAACCCACATCCTCTTCTACTCATGCAGCATCCTACATGCCTTTGCTGAGCTCAGACGCTCCAGCAGCTGCTTGGCCCCCACACCTGTGAACACGCTGTGCTCACGCCCCACTCCTTCACTGTTTGTAGGTTCCCACTCAGCTTGAAGACTCAACTCAATGTCACCTCCTCTGGGAAGCCTTCCTGGAGCAGACATTCAGAAAATCTGCTCCTGCGCTGTGTCCCCACACGCCCTGCGCACTGCCCTGGGGGCCATTCCAGTGACGACAGCCACTTCCTCGTTTGTATTCTGTCCTCCTGCCAGGCAGGGGGAGCCTCAGAGGGAGTGGCCTCTCCTCCATCTCACGCCCCTGCATCGGTTCGCAGCCAGTGTTCAAGAGACGTCCGCTGGCTTCTTGGGTGGGTGGGGGTGGGCAGATAGATGGGAGAGCTTGGCTGCACGTGGGCCCTCTGAGCTCCAGAGGGACTCACAGTTCTCGGCCATCAGGACACAGAGCTTCCAGGTATGTGGGCTCTGGGCCCAGGAAGACCTGCCTTTAAACCTAGCCCAGGCTTCGTACCACACCCCAAGCTTCCGTCCCTGTAAGAAGGGGGTGAAGGTGCTGCTATGGATCACCTGAAGCCCCAAAATCATCTGCTGCAAATCCTGTGCCTGTGGATGTAAACCCCTCTGGGCAGAGCGTGCTCTGCCGTGGCAACAGGCTACTCAGGGCAGGTGCGCTGCAAGCCAACCTCCTCTGAGATAGGAAAAGGGCAGATCAGGCACAGAAGCAGGCAGAGATGGGCAGAGAAGGTCCCCAAGGACCAGAAGCTGAAGACAGATGCGACCTGCCCCCAGAGCCGGCAGAGAGAGCCTTCCCCGAGAGCTGGCGCCTGAGTTCAGGCTGCTAGCCCCTAGACTGAGAGGAACAGCCCTGTTTGTCAAAGCCGCCCACTGTGTTATCTCTATTACGGCAGCGCCAGGGACCGGGTCTCACCAGGGACCATGTCTCACCAGGGACCGGGTCTCACCAGGGACCGTGTCTCACCAGGGACCGTGTCTCGCCAGGGACTGGGTCTCGCCAGGGACCGGGTCTCGGTTCCCTGGTGCTGCTATAACAGAAATGCCACAGTGGGCGGCTTTGACAAACAGGCTCTTCCTCTCACAGTCTATGGGCGCAGCCTGAACTCAGGCGCCAGCTCTAGAGGAAGGCTTTCTCTCTCTGTCGGCTCTGCGGGCAGGTCCTGGTCTCCCTTCAACATCTGGGGGCCCAGAGTCCCTTGGACGTCTCCATGTGTCTTGGCATCAATCTTCCCCTGGGTCTAGGAGGTCCTTGGCACAGGGACCCAGGGTCCAAAGGATATGTTCCACTCCTGGCTCTTCTGGGGGGTCCTGGGGCCCCTCCTTCTCTACTCCTCTCTACTTTCATCTCTTGTGAGATGCAAAGTGATGCAGGCCACACCCCAGGGAAACTCCTCTTCCATTGGCCAGGGCTGTGACCTGAGTCAGGGTGTGGTGTCTCTCTAATCGCCTTACAACCGACTGGCTGATCACTACACAGGGTGATTACATCATTACATGAGAATCAGGGCTCTGCCAGGACAGATATCTTAGGGGGACACAATTCAACTGATGTTAGGAATGAAGACAGACCCTAACCAGCAGCACCGCCCAGAGGGCTGAGAGAAGGTTTAGCACAGTGGCAGTGTGGAGTAAACCCCCAGCGGCCAGGCAGCCACTGCTACACCTGCCCTCATTCCACAGTTCAAGGGACCACCTCCCCTCCAGGTGTTTAACCTGCTGCCACCTGACTCACAGTCCTCTATCTGCATCACTGAGCTCCAAGGTTTCCATGGCTGATCTCTTGGAAGTTGACCACCAGGCCTCTGGGTAGACTCAAACCACCAACCTCTTGGTTCGCAGCCAAGTACATAAACCATCTGCACCACCCAGGGCTCCATGCACATGTTTACACCCCTATAAAGTTGGGAGCACAGCTAGCACTTAACCAACGGCTTCTGAGTTGCACCACTGAGTAATGAAGTTCATCAGAAAACCACGTGCTGGGACTGCATTGCCCTCATGCCGCAGAAACACCTTCAGAGTCGCAGCCCCTCGCAACTGGGGATTTGGCCTCGTGCCGTAGGTGCTCAGCACGCATTCTGAGTGGAGGGACGAACGAGTCGGAGAACAGAGCACAGACCGACCCATGAACTGGCCACACAAAGGCCAGTTCTGCCAACCCTCCACAAACAATGACCATTCCATTGCCAAATACCCTTACAAGCAGCCCTGGGGTGCAACGGTTAAGCTCTCAGCTGCTAACCAAAAGGCTGGAGGTCAAGTCCACCCAGTAGTTCTGTGGGAGAAAGACCTGGTGAGCTGCCCCATAAATACATCAGCCCAGGAGGTCCTACAGGGGCAGCTATAGTCTGTCCTCCAAGGTCACCGTGAGTCGGAATGGACCCGACAGCAGCGGGCTTGGTGTGGGCTTTGCTCCTATAAAGGTCACAGCCTATGAAAGCCTATGGGGCAGTTCTACTCTGTCACACGGGGTCACTAGGAGTCAGAATCAGCACCCAGCAACAACACGGTTACAACAATGATGACACCACCACTGTCACCACCACCAATACCACCAATACTACCAACAGTACCACCATCAATACCACCACCAACAATACCACCGACACTACCAAAAGTACCACCACCACTACCAACACTACCACCACCACCACCACCACCACCACTACCAAGAGTACCACCACCAATACCACCAACACTACCAACAGTACCACCGCCAAAACTACCAACAGTACCACCACCAATTCCACCACCTACCAACAGTACCACCACCAATACCACCAACACCACCAATAGTACCACCACCACCACTACCAACAGTACCACCACCAATACCACCAACACTACCAAGAGTACCACCACTAACACTACCAGCAGTACCACCACCAATACCACCAACACCACCAATAGTACCACCACCACCACTACCAACAGTACCACCACCAATTCTACCACCACTACCAACAGTACCACCACCAATTCCACCAACACTACCAATAGTACTACCACCAACACTACCAATAGTACCACCACCAACAGTACCACCACCACTACCCACCAACACTGCCCTTCTGGGAAGGGCCACAGCAATCCCACCCAAGCTCAGCACAGGAAAGCACTCGCCTCCCCCCAGGAGGACTGGGCCTGTGGAAACTAATTCACGGGCCGCCACCCCAGCCCACTGAGCACAGGTGCCAAGCCACCCTAGGTCTCAGACTTCGGTGGCCTCCTGGTCTCTGTCTGCAGCCCCTGGAGGACTGCTCATGTTCTCACCCTCTTGTTTAGTGGGTCTGCTGTAATCTGTGTGTGGCATGACACTCGGGGCCAGCTCTGCTTTCTTCACAACAGCTTTCTTAAGGGGCAACTTACACCCCACACAACCCATCAACTGCAAGCATGCCAGTCAGTCATTTTTCTTAAACTTCCCCAGCTGTGCAGCCATCACCACACCTTCATTTTGGGGTATGTGCCCTCGGATCCGTTTGCACTCCAGCTCACACTCACCCCAGCTCCTCTGCTTCCTGCCCATGGACTTGGGTTTTCTGGGCAGTGCATGTAGATACAACCAGTGTGCAGCCCTCCCATCTGCTGCTGTCACCTGATATCATGGTTTGGGTCCATGCATCACTCCTCTTTCCTGCTGAATAGCATCCCAGTGTATGGAGGGACAACATTTTTGGATCCAAGGGTGGCAAACGTTTTTTGCAAAGGGCCTCTGAATCCACTCGGTATCTGTCACAACAACTCAGGTCTGAAGATGGCCACATGTCACCAGGCAGGCATGGCTGTGCCCAGTGAACATCTGCTCGTGAGGACAGGTGGCAGGACAGTAGGCTGTAGCCTGCCGTCCCCTGCTCTAAACATCTCAGGGTTTGATAGCCTCTGAACCTGGATGCCAAGTGCCCTGCAGTCTCTCAGGATTGGTATGGACAATGAGGGCAGGGCCACACTGCACCTGGCACTGGTAAACATGGCCATGGCAGTGGAGGCAGAGTGGGGTCATGGTAAAGGGGTTACGGGGTGTCATGTGTGAGATGGTGGTGGGCATGGTTGTAAATGTAACCGTGGAGATGAAGTCTGTGACCCAGTGATTTAGGTGACGATGACAGTGGGGACAGCAGTGCTGTCCTTAAAGAGAACCATTTGGAGGTGGCATTGGTGTGGAGGTGGAGGGCCAGAGTGTGTGGGTGGCACAAGCTGGTGGCAGAGTATAGGCTGTGGTTACAGCTGTGGAGGTGGGGTGATGGTGGGTGGGGGTGGCCATGATACTCGTTCAGAAGTGCCTCACTGTCACCTCTAGAACCTCCACCTGCCATGAGGGGCCTCATCGTCCAGCATCTCCCCAACTCATGGCCCAGGGCAGTGCTCCATGGACAGTGGCTGCATGAGGAACTGCACACTAGGGACCAAGCCAAGCAGTGATGTTGGCCAAGTCCCGGCCCCAAATGATGTAATGTCCTCTGCCTCCTGCCACCTGCTCCACTGCAGCTCTCCAGGGAGTGTGCCCCTCCAAGTCCTACCCTACAATGACATCGTGTCCTCAGTCTCCCACCACCCACCCTCCTGACAGCTCTCCAGGGTCTGTGCCCCCCTCGCCTGTGGCCTGGGTCTCCAGGGGACATACCCGGGAGGAGCCACGCAGAAGCTCTGACAGCTGCTTCATGGCACCGGTGCTGGCTGTGACAGTCGCGTTGGTCTCTTGCTGCACCGAGTGCCTGGGGGTGAGAGGGGCAAGGGCAGAGGGAGACCAGAGGGCAGGGATCAGGGGTAGAAGAACCATGTGGGAGAAGTGCAGACAGACCACAGACACAGGGAGAGGCAAGAAGGGAAGGACAGACAGACGTGGGCAGAAAGGAGGGTGGGAGGCCACAGAGATGCAGACAACAGGAGGGAAGGAAGCAGAAGGAAAGGAGGCACCGAGAGAGAAGCAGGACATGGAGAGAGGAAAGTGACAATGGCATTGATGGAGGAAGGGCCAAGAGATGAGGGGGAATAGAGGGCACAAAGACACACAGAAACAGATGGCAAAGGAGGGACGTGGTTGGGGGACAGGTAGAAAGCAGAGAAGGGGAGAGAGGAGAGAAATCAATTCCATCACAAGTGGATTTCCAGCTGTGGGACAAGACCCTCCAGAACCTGTCATCATGGGAACACCTGTCTCCCCCTCCCATTCCACCCATCCCCAAGACAGGCAGCTACAGCCCAGCTCTGGAGCCCTGGGCCCAGCCCCAAGCCGTGCAGAGCACTGGGGCACATGGAGAAACTGGAAGCAGGGGACAACAGCATGAGGACACAAAGTATAGGACCTCTCCACTTTCCAGGCAGAAACACAGAGACAACTTGGCAGGGACTGAGTAGTCCTTAGCAAGTCAAGACAGACAAGGGTACAAGGGTGATGGGGACAGGTGCCATCATGTGTGTGTGTGGATGGCTCCAATGATTCCAGCTCCCAGAAGTCAAGTCCCCCCCCAACCAAGCTGAGGCCCAGATACCACAGAGCCAAGACCAGTGTCCCACAGCACACAGTGAGGGCAGAGCAGATGGTGATGGGGCCATGAGAAATAAAAACAAAAATTTCCCCAATTTGATGAAAAGTATAAGCCCACAGAACCAAGAAGTTCAACAAACCCAAACAAGATAAGCACAAAGAGGGCCACACAAATTCAAGACTCTCAAAGGACCCCAAGCAGGATAATGACCCACAGATCAGAACCATACCCACACTTACACACATCACATTCCAAGGGGAAACACAAAAGATAAAGAAAAACTGCTGAAGGCAGCCAGAGGAGAAAGATACATTCCAGACAGAGCTGCAATGAAAAACAAGCACAGCAGACTTCTCATCAGAAACTATGGAAGCCAGAAGGAAATGGAGAGGCATCCGCACAGTGCTGACACAACTGGGGACCCAGAATTCCACAGTCAGCAAAAATATGTTTTAAAATAAAAGTGTAATAGTGACTTCTTTCAGTCAACAAAGTCAAAGAGAACCTGTTACCACCAGACCTTCTCTAAACGAAATGTTAAAAGAAGTTTTTCATGGAACAGGAGCATGAAACCAGACAGAAACTGGGATCTATGTAGAGAAACAAAAATCTTCAGAAATGGTTAAGGTTAAGGTAAAAATAAAAGAAAATGTTGTCCAGTTTTTAGTAACTCTAAAAAATAATGAATACTACTATTATTCAAATTTATGCACCAACCACCAAAGCCAAAGATGAAGAAATTGAAGATTTTTACCAACTTCTGTAGTCTGAAATTGACTAAACATGCAATCGAGATATGTTAATTATCACTGGTGATTGGAATGCAGAATTTGGAAACAAAGAAGAATCACCGGTAGTTGGAAAAAAAAATGGCCCTGGTGACAGAAATAATGCTGAAGATTGCATGATAGAATTTTGCAAGATCAACGACTTGTTCATTGCAAACACCTTTTTTCAAAGACACAAATGGTGGCTATACACGTGGACTTTGCCAGACGGAGCATACAGCAACCAGATTGACTACATCTGTAGCAAGAGGAGATGGAGAAGCTCAATATCTTCAGCCAAAACAAGGTCAGGAGCTGACTGTGGAACAGACCATCAGCTGCTCAAATGCAAGTTCAAGTGGAAGCTGAAGACAATTAAAATAAGTCCACGAGAGCCAAAATATGACCTTGATTATATCCCTCCTGAATTTAGAGACCACCTAAAGAATACATTTGATGCATTGAACACCAATGACCAAAAACCAGAGGAATTGTGGGATGACATCAAGAACATCATCTATGAAGAAAGCAAGAGGTCATTAAAAGACAGGAAAGGAAGAAAAGACCAAAATGGATGTCAGAAGAGCCTCTGAAACTTGCCCTTGAATGGACAGTAGCTAAAGTGTATGGAAGAACTGACAGGATAAAAGAACTGAACGGAAGATTTCCAAGAGCAGCTCGAGAAAACAAAGTCAAATACTATAATAAAATGTGCGAAGACCTGGAGTTGGAAAATCAGCAGGGAAGCACACTCGACATTCCTCAAGCTTAAAGAAATGAGGAAAAAATTTAAGCCTCAAATTGCAATACTGAAAGGTTCCATGGGCAATATGTTGAACGATGCAGAAAACATCAAAAGAAGATGGATGGAATACACAGAGTCACTATACCAAAAAGCATTGGTCAATGTTTTTCCATTTCAGGAGGAGGCATATGATTGAGAATCAATGGTACTGAAGGAAGAAGTCAAAGCTGCACTGAAGGAACTGGTGAAAAACAAGGCTCCAGGAATTGACGGGATACCCACTGAGATGTTTCAACAAACGGATGCCCCACTGGAGGCACGTACTTGGCTATGCCAAGAAATTT